CCCTCGGGCGGGAGCGCTGCCGCGCTTCCCAAGCGGCGCACTTATCCAGTGCGCCACCGGGGCGGCCTGAAATCTCCAGTTTTGATGGTGGGTTCTTGTATTTCTCCTTGAAGTTCTATTAGATTTGGTGTCACATAGTTTGATGATCTGTTGTAAGGCACATACACATTAAGAATTGTCCTCTGGGAGAACTAATATTAGGATGTAATGCCACTTTTTCTCCCCCTCTATCCTATGTTTAAAGATAAAGTGTTTCTGCAGATTCTGTAATTGTTCTTTTTTTACTTTCAACCTCTTAGGTTCATTCATTCTGATGTCTTCACATAACATGGATTTTGATACTTTTCAAATCTTTATTGTCAGCTTAACTTTCTCTCTTGAATGCTGGAATCATATATCCAATTGCCACTTGGACTTTCCACATATATTTCAAGTATTGTGTGTTTGAGTCTGTTTCACTTTTGTTCTTTATATTTTCTCCTAATTTTCAAACTTTTCTTTGCAGTTCCAGGACCTAACTAGCTGTGCTTAGGTAATAGCCTGAGAGTAAAACTCTTTTTTTAAATTTCTGCACAGCAAATTACTACCACATTGTTTCTGATTTTTCGTTCCCTATTACTATTTTATACTGTTAAGTCTGTCTTCTGTGTGCTTATTTCTCTGTTGTAATATAGTTGGTCTTCTGTCATCCTGTTTTCTTTTTTCCTCTGATTCTCCCAGAAAGCCTTTTCCATTCTCCTTGTAGTGGGTAACTATTAAAATGCAAATAAACTCATGTACTTACAGGACCACATTATTTGCTCCCTGTGGTTTATAAAGTTGCATTGTACACCTTAGTGTGGACACAAGCAATCCCTTGGCACATAGGAAGGAAATTTTGGAATGCCTTTTTTATGTACTTTTAATTCATAAGTAGTTAAGAAACAATAATAACTACATACAATGTTTTGCTGTTTGAAATAGGTCCCATATTTAAGTGTGGAATCATTCTATAATCAGTTGCTTCAATATTTTTTTCTCTTATGCCGCCCAGGATCATTCACTCAGACATGGTGCTGTGTGTACTTCCATTAATGTGAGGTGTGGTTTTTGTGTTCTTGTGACTGGACTTTTGCTGTTGCTTCGTATTCATGAGACCATGCAGTTCACATGGAAGAGTTTAACATCTTTGGCATTTCAGTGAAGT